CCTGTGAGACAGGTTGATAGATCTTTATCCCCAGGGCACTTATACATAGTTTTTACTGTGGTAATTTCCATTCAATTTTGTTTTTGTCCTCTTCATGTTTCATATATATATATATATATATATATATATATATATATCCATCTTAGCATTCTCCAATGTTTCCTGTATGCATCCTAATTCTCACTTGGTCTGAAAATCCTTGAAGGCAGGGACATTTCTTTTTCTGCAGTGCACAAAAGTCAACATAGAATCAATAATGCTAAGTGATTCCATTATGGTTAAAATGTGTCCACAGTTAATTCTTTCCTCTGCAGAGTTCTTGAATCTGAAAGTGTTGCTGTGACCTAACCTCTGCTGAAATGAAAGATTTTAAACTTTATTTTGCTCTGACCAGATCAGAGATTTTATCTTTCTAAAATTTCCAAATCATTTTCTAACTCCTTACCCTACAGACATTGGATATTCATATAAAAATACTTCTATACACTTCACAGTCTAGTTCTTTTTTTTTTTTTTTTTTTTTTCTTCCCCAAATCCATTTTATTTCAAGGAGAAAAATTTAAAAAAAAGAAGTAAAACAAAATTTCAAACTCAATCAGGGGCAACAATGGTAAAGTCTAGTTCTTGGTAGAATACTAATAAACATACTGAATGAAATAGTTTATAAAATAAAAGTCTAATACAATCTACTTCCCAACCTCAAGTAGAAAAGTGATTCACTGTTTTGTTTTGTTTTTTGAGATAGGCTTTCACTATGTAGTTCAGGCTGTCCTTGAACTCACTACGTAGCCCAGTCTGGACTTGATCTCACAGTGAGCCTCTTGCTTCAGCCTCTCAAGTGCTGGAGTGACTCACTGTTATAGGTTAGAACCTAGTAACCAAACTAAGTCACTAGTCCCAAATGTAATTGTTTTGAGATACTTCAGTATTTTTTAACAGGCCACAGCTGGGCATGGTGGCACATCCCCAGCTATTTGGAAGGCTGAGGCAAAGGCTCACAAGTTTAAGACTAGGTTGGGCAACTTAGTGAGACCTAGCTCAAAATAAAAAATTAAAAAGGCTGGGATACAGTTGGGTGGGAGAGCGGTTACCTAGCATGCACATGGTTTCAATCCTTAATACCAGAAAAAAAAAAAAGTTTTAAAATAAATAAAATGAAATAAAAGAAAAGGCCCAAGAGTCAGGGCTTTACAAGAAGGTCTTGTTAGCTCTAATTCTACTGACTTGACACTTCTTCTTGGCATTGCTCATGGGCAGCTGAAAGCCCAACAAAGCCTTAAGCCCTTGCAATGTACCTAACAACCAGGCTGGGATTGGCATACCCGCTTACTGCTATAGCTCCCTGGAGAAGGGAAAGGATCTATCTAGGGGAGAGAGGTCAGAGCTCAGAGGTATCCTGAGGCAGCACACAGTCTTACCGCATCAAACTCCGCTTGATCATCCTCAGGTAGGTCGCTGGTTTCATAAACATCTGGCTCATTTCTGGCCTGCAGGCAGAAGCAGTGACCACCCAAACTCAATACTTAGCATCTCTCAAGTCCCCTTACCTCACCCCATTTGAACAAGTTAATGGAGAAGAGGCCATAATGCCAGAATTCTGTCCTCTCTTCACCTGCCCTACAAACAGCATGCCAGTTCCCATGTTTCAGTGGGGGTAGAGATGTCAGCAGGCACAACTGGGACCAGATGGTAAATGGTGTGATAACAAAGATGTTGCCCTCACCATGGAGAAGACTAGGTCCTTGGTAATCATTTGGTCCAAAGCAGGTGATGGCCATCCTCAAATTAGGGCCTGTACACCACTCCCAAGGGTTGAAAGTGACTCAGGACTTTAATTCCCAAAGTCCTGTGTCCCAATTCCCAACCTCAGAATGCAGACGAGGCAGCTCAAAAGGAAGGGTACATGCCACCTTGTGCATTTGGGGAGAAGAGTCAGACACCGGTTCCCCAAAGGGCAGAGTTCCTCACGGGGTACAAGGTTGGCAGGCCACTAAGTGGCTTGGCGAGTATGTCTGGGACACGAACGCTAGGCCTTATGGGGGGATTTGGGGCGGCAAGGGCAGTGTTGACAGGATGGCAGAGAAGCTCAGGCACAAGTGTAGGCACCCGAACATTTCTGGGCCAGAAAACTGGCGACAATCAGAAAGGGGGCCAGGAGCTCCGCCCGATGGCCCGGCCCAGTCGGGTCAGGAGTCCGGAAGGTGCAGCAGCCGGTCGGAAAGCGAGCGGCACGAGCCCTTGGGGTGGAGGATGGCCTGCACGCAGGAAGGGTCGTGGGCTGATATGTGTTAGGGGGTCTTCGGGAGGCCGGGGGCGCGGTCTTGGGGACCCGGGCCGGCCCTGTACTCACAATGCCGGGAAGGTCGGCGTATTTAGGGTCCGCCATGGCGGCGGCGAGGCAGAGCTGGGGGACCAAAGCCTCGGTGGAGCCGGGGCCGGTAACCCGGTAAGGGAGAGGCTGGGTCCGGGTCCCCGTAAGGCGGCGGCAAAGGGAGCGGCAGATCAGGAAATCTCGCGATAGCAGAGCTCACCAGAAGGTAAAGCTCCAATCGCGAGAACAGCCGCTACCACGGCCGTAGAAAGGCTGGGATTGGTGAGAGTGAGCCTGAGGATGAGGTAATGACGAGGGGATGCTGCCTAGGATTCTGGGTTGTGTAGTTTTGGGTCCAAAAAAACCGACCATAACGCACCTTACAGAACTATGACATACAACTTATTTTCTTTCATTTTTTACGTCGATTCTGTGAAAGAATTTTATACTTTATTTTTTTGCACCAGAAATTAAGCGACTAGAAATCAGAAGCTAGTCATGTTGTGATACAGCGAGGGCTTCAGAAATTAACATTTTGCCAGGCATGATGGGGCATGCCTGTAATCCTTCACTTGGGAGGCTGAGGCAGGAGAATTGCCAGGAGTTCGAGGCCATTTTAGGTGAGTTCAAAGCCAGCCCTGGATTACAGAACGAGACTTCGTCTCAAAAAACCAAACCAAAATTAAAATACACACACACACACGCACGCACGCACGCACGCACACACACACCAGTAACACAGTAAACAGTGTAGGTTAACAATGGAAAAGTTATGCACTTTTCTCAAGTTTCGGCTGCCAGGTAAGATACAAGGTGCTTAATTTCACATAATGAATAAAGCATTGTTTCCTACTTTTTTTAATTCGTATTTTTGTTTTTTAATAGACCTCATACCATATTTGGCACATACACATAAAATTACTGTTATCCGAGATTCAATTTTAGTTGGGTATCATGTTTTCATTTCTGAAATCTAGCAATTCTATCTTCAGTTCATAAATGGGTAAATGTTGACTCTAAATCTGTCTGAACACTCTCTCTGCTCTGCATTCACTAATAGACTTTTGTATTTTATAGTTCAATAAAATTAAAACAAATCTAGGCTGGGCATTTGGCATGCTGAGGCAGCATGATCTAGAGTTTGAGGCCAGCCTGGGCAACGCAAGGCCAGCCTGAACTGCATAGTGAGACCCTGTCTCAAAGAGACAAAAAGTGGGGGAGGGGGCCGGGGAATACAGCTCAGTATGGAGACCTGGATTCAATCTCTAGTATGGCGAAGGGTCAATCGTTATGAAAATTAACCACAATGTTCCTTTGGGGGTGGGGGCACACTCACTTAACTTTCATCTCTGACTAGTGACCCTCTGTGGACTAGCATTTTACGACTCTGTGACTAAGGATTCCTCCTTGGAGCTCCTAGGGGCCCAAGATTTGGATGTTTCCTGAGTTGGCTGGATGCTGCAATGCTTAGAAATAGTGCCAAACCAAGTGACTAAAGAGTTCCTGAGTTTGTAACTCATGGTCATTTTTTCTCCTGGCTCCTCCCCAAGCCTCTACCTCTTTCTCCACAGTCTTACTGCCTTCTCATCTAGCTCCTTTTGCTGGATCCCTTTCTTTCGGTTCTCTTAAGATTCAAGGTGAGTTAGAGGTGCAGACCCATCTTGGGAAACATACTCAGCTGAGTTCTATTTGGTTAAATTTTGTTTGGCTAGGGCATCAGCCTCTTTACCCTTGTCCCACAGTGACCCTAGACACGGTCCAGACAATTTCTGAGCAGAACCTCTATTCCCCGCTCCCTTCTTCCATCTAGTGCCCCTCCCCTTGGCCTAGAGTCTCAATTCCTGCAGTCTAATCTTCTGCTGGCCAGCAGAAACCTATGATGTGAAGAAAAATCAATTTGGCCAGCTTCTGGATTGTTCTGCCTAGGAGTCCGAATCAAATGCAAAAAGGACAAAGACTCTTTGGTGCTCCCCCCAACACACACACCAAGGGGAGAAGCAGTTAAAAAAGATCTGAGAAATGGGCTGGATATTGTGGTGGGACCCTATCCAACAGTAGCTGAGAAACACATAGGGGTGCCTAAAATCCAAAATGCATGTGAGTTTCTTTTAGAGCCCCTTTGGATGATGTCCACCGTCATCCTTTGCTTCCATACCAATGTGGAACAAAATGAAAATTCGTTCCATTTTTGAATTCTGACAGTCTAGAGTAAGAGTTTGTCTTCCCTCAATTGGGGTTCTGGTGTGCATCTTAGGAAGTGAGTAGAGTGCCCTTTTGGATCTGGAACAGGAAGAGTAGTGGGACTTTCCCCTGATCGGCCTCCCTGACACTGGGATCTGGCTGCCCCCCATCAAGAGTGCCCGCACCTGCCCTTGAAGGATGAGAGTTGTGGAGTCTGGCTTCTTGTGGGCATATGGGATGGACTGGGGGAGGTAGAATGAACTTCCAAATTGAAGAATGGGTTGTGATGGCCAAAGGGATGTCCTGTAATAAAGGGAATGGAAGCCCCGAAGACCCTCTTTCCTTAGCAGACACGTTGGTGTTTCACTTTCAGGCCCCCCCTCAGTCCCCTCGCCCCTTCCAGGAGGTGGAGTCTGAGGGAGGGGCAAATAGGTCTTGCGTGTGGGGTAGGATGCAGAGAGTGAGCCAGGTGGAGAAGGCTCGAGGGCAGGCTCTCTAGTTAGAAGTCCCAGCAGGACGAGGAGAGAGGGCAGTCTCCACCTCGCGGTGGTCGTCTTGCACCTCGCCCCCAGCGAAGCAAGCCCCGCCCCGCCGCCCCGGCGCGCCCCGCCCAGGCCCGCAGAGCGGCTGCAGCGCGAGGGCGGAGAGGCAGAGCACAGAGCGCGGACCCGACGCCCAGGTCGCTCGCATCTCTGTGCCGCAGCAGGCTGAAACTGTGCCCCGGCCTTCGTGTGGCCGCCCCGGCTTCCTCGGTCCCAGCGACCGAGCACCTGTCTTCTGCCCCGGCCTTCGCCGAGCGCCCTCTCCTCCAGAGCTCACCACCGCTGCAGCCCGAGAAGTGCCCCAGCGCTACGCCGGCGACCACCATGGCGGAGACCAACAACGAATGCAGCATCAAGGTGCTCTGCCGCTTTCGGCCTCTGAACCAGGCCGAGATTCTAAGGGGGGACAAGTTCATTCCCATTTTCCAAGGAGACGACAGCGTCGTTATTGGGGTGAGTGCTGCTCCGGGAGTGAAATTAAGGAGGGGGCGGGAGGCAGAATTTTCTGACCCTCAGAGCCTTAGTCTATCCCTGTCACTTTGCGCCCCCACCCCTCCGCACTGTCTCCAACCTCTTCGCCGCAGCCCCACCTCTCCCCTGCACCAGGGTGGCTGGGTGTGGCTTTACCAGGCCGACGGCCAAGCCTGCAGAGTGGAGGGAGGCTCCTTCCCTGCCTTCTGGAGACCCAAGCCCCCATTGCTACTCTCTGCAGCGTTCCCACCCCTTAGGGCCAGTCCCGTGTTTTTCTGATGTTTTCCCTCTTCCCCAGATAAAGCACATCTTCCCTTTGTTATTGGCTCAGATTCTGCCCCCCCCCCCCCCCGCAACCTCCCAGGAAGGAAAGGAGAAGAGTGGAGGATGGGTTAGATTGGAGCTAGGCTGTCCCAGGCCCGGTGAAGGTCTGATGGGAATGGGGTCTAGGACCAAGGTCTCCAGCATCTCCTGAAGTACTTACAGCCTGGACAGTGTGTTGGGAGGGATGATGGTACAGATTTTAAGAAGGGTTTTCTGAGAAAGATATACATTGGTGCCACACCCAGTTATGGGGAGAGCCTATGGAATCTTAAAGACTTGTCTGCCTTTCCATCTCAGGAACAGAAGAAACAAGATTTCAGACCCCTCATTTTCCCCCTCACCCCTGCCCACCCCACCGAGTAAAAACGCCCAGACCCTGAGATCTTAATATGTACTTGCTTATTCATCCTTTCTCTTGGTGATCCAATAAAAAATAGCAGTGGACCTTTACCTCATCATGACATACTTACTTTCCTGTATAAGATCATGTGGGAGATCTTATTGTACAGGAAAAATATTTACTATGTACTTCTTACTCTGAGTGTCGTGTTTAAACCTCAGAACAATACTCTGAATCAATACTTCCATTTTACAGATGAAGACATTGAGGCCCATAGAAGTTGACTTTCTCAAGGTCATCCTGAGAGTCCATAGAACTGAACCCAAATCTCTGTCTCCATCTTTTCTTTTATATCACATTACCTCCTCAGGTTTTGTTCTAGACTGTCATCTATGATGGTCCCTAGCCTTACCCACTCCACCTCTCCTTGGCTGGTAGGGACTTTCAGGGTGTGTTTGGAGTGAAAGGATCTAGGGTTGAATCCTTTAGGCTTGAGGAATGTTGGGCTAGGAAACTGTCCGAATTGAAAAAGGAGGGGCATATCTGAGGGCGGTCCTCAAGGTCAGGGACTGCTTTATGTGTCTTTGATTGACTGTGCTTGGCACAGAACAGCTAAAACATGCTTGTTAAAAGAATGAAGGGAAGAAGGCAGGAAGTCTAGGTCTTCTGAGTTAGTGAGAATAGGACTTTCATAAAATGCCAAAGGGAGAGCCCCAGCTACTCTCCTATCCCCTGATCACCCTCACCCACACGGTGAACTCAAGTGGGTCCTTTTATCATGTATAGGTGTTGTGCATGTTTGATGAGAGGATCCTTGATTCTTTCCCTCTGGGACCTCAGGGCTTGAAAGCTGGCCTGTCTAACCAGGCTAAAAGAAAACCCAGATCAACTAAGAGAGACCCTTGTGTAACTTGGACAGCAGATTTTAACTATGGGAGTTGGAGTTTGGGTCCTGTTGAGACAAAAGCTGAGAAATGGGAGGAGAGTGGTCCTTGGGAATAAATTCAAAAAGGCTTCTAAGTCTGATTTCTTTGTTCCACTCCTTTAGTTTCTGTGGGCTATCCTGTTGTGTAGGATGAATGAGTCAGGAGGTAAGGTTGAGGTGTTGATCTGTTCTGTTAGTTCAGCAAAACAGGAGAGACAGAGAAAGGTGGGGAAGGCAGAGGAAGAAAGAGAAGCCTATGACCTCCTGTTAGTTCAGATTCGACTTGAGCTCTCTATAGCAGGTATTCTTCAGGTATATCCTTATCTGCTCTGCCTGATTTTTCACAGAGCTGTATCTTTGTCTCACTCTGCATCTTTCCAAGCCCTAGCCCTCCCGTCAATCTTTCACTCAAGATAAATGCTTGCACGGGGCCATTTTGTCTCAAGGCTTGCCTTCCCATATTGATTTACTAGTTGTTCTTCTTCAGTGGAACCAGACTACCAGAGACATGATTTTGAGATCTTCAAGATATCCAGCAAGAGAAGAACATCTACTCTTTTTTCTCTCTTTTTTTTTTGTGACAAGGTCTTGCTGTGTAGCTCAAGGTGGCAAGGTGGCCTTGAACTTGCTGTGTAAGCCAGGCTGGCCTCAAATGTGTAGCCATCCTACTGCCTCAACTTCCTGAGTGCTGGGATTACAGTCGTGTGCTACCACACCCAGTTTTCTCTGCTTTCCGCTTTCTCTTGTTGGGGGCCAGTAGGTGGGGAATCAGTGAGGATCAGTGGAGGAAGCTGCTTCAGAATCTCTGGGAAATTGAGGGAAGGGGGAAGGAAAAGGATAAAGAGCATAATTTCTCAAAAGCTAGCTCTTGCTCCCTCCTGTGAAAGCTTTCCCGTTGGCCTCTGCAGCCCTATAGCTACTTCTGGGTGGCAGAGGCCTTTATACTGGGGCTGCTTGCAGTGTAGGAGAGTAAAAGAAGAGATAGCTTTGTGTACCTTGTTTTTCCCCAATTCCATTGTATTCTCTCACAATTGAGGAGGGACTGGCAGCCAAAGCAAAGGATTGAGTCATAATAGAAGGATATCTCTGCATACTCTGTGTGGTATGTCTCTTACTTTTTTTTTTTTTTTTTGGTACTGGGAATTGAACCCAGGGCCTTGCACTTCCTAGGCAGGTGTTAAACCACTGAGCTATATCCCCATCCCTGTGGTATGCATCTTATTTTGCTCTTTGTATGCATAGAATCTAGTGTCACTTTTTCACTGAACCCATTTGTAAGTGTCTCTGTCTTTCTCTACCTTGGTCTTTCTTAGCAGTGGCCTAGTGCTTGCTGTCTGGGCTGGTACTTCAGCACCACGTGTGGGAGGAATGATAGGACACACATATATGCACGTGTGCACGTACACATGCATAGACTTACATTCCCTCTCTTTCATTCAAATATCCACAAGCTTCCTCCTCCTCATTTCCTAAAAGCTAAGTCCCTTAAAGGGACAAGATACCAGGCCATCAAATACCTGGTATGGATAAGGTAGAGTGGGAGCTGTGGGGTTACTAGAGCAAAGTTATTATGGTTTGGGGTATTCTTTGGATTCTTTTGATATCTGAGAATAGCAGGACTCCCCGTACCTTTGGGGGTGTTTCATAAAGGGAAATGGAGAGGGAAGGTAATGTTCACTGTGACCAATATCTTTCTAGCATTACCATGGCAACAATCCCCAGAGGTGTCACCATGGAAATTAGCCCTGGAGCTTGAAGTTTAGGCTGTACCAAATCCTTACTGCAGGTTGAACAGGTTGGTCATCTTTGAGACCCTGATCTTTGACCCCCACTAGCATCAGTTGACACACATGATGAAAAACTGCCATGATGCTGGCACCTTCTCTGCACAAATGGACTAGGAGAGGATAAGGAGGCCTGGAACAGGAGAATAAAGTACCCAGACTGTGGGTCTCTCAGGAAAGTTCCTCTGGAGAAGGCTGTGAGAATGCTGAGCCTGCTGGGCTATCAGCAAGATCTGTTAGAGGCCTCCTAAAAGGTTGAGACTCCTGGTGTAGATCTGATGGGACAAGTCTTCAAGTTTCTACTGCTGTGCCAGCCTGCAGGATATGTCAGTTACTGAAGGTCAGAAAGATGAGGGAGGCCAAAAGGATGGGTGGGAGAATAGTTCTGAAAAAGGGATTGAGTTTGGAAAAAAGGAGTGATACTTAGTTCTATCTAGAAATCTTGGAGAAACACCGTGTGCGCGTGCACGTGTGTGTGTGTGTGTGTGTGTATGTTGGGAAGTAGAGTGAAGGAAGAAGAGGAACACCCATGATAAGAATCTCATTGTAGGTTTATAGTGTAGTTCATTGATCACTTTGATTGTGGTCCTGGAATCATATTGCTTGGGGTAAAGTCCACTATTTCCCAGCTGTGTGACTGTGGGCAAGCTAACTGGCCTCTTTGAGCCTCAGTTTCCTCACTGATGAATGGAAGTAATAATAGTACCTACCTCCTAGATAATGCATATAAACTTAGCACAGTGACAGGCATGATTCCAGCTGCTCAGGAGGCTGAGACAGGAGGATCACAAATTCAAGGCCAGCCTAAGCAACTTAGTGAGACTTTGTCTCAAAAATAAAAGGACGGGGATGTGGCTCACTGGTAGAGAGGTTGCCTTGCATATGGGAGGCCCTAGATTTAATCCCTAGTACTGAAAAACAATTAGATCATCTTATTACTTTATATACTGTCTCTCCAGAAGTTAAAACCTGGGAAGCAAGAAGCACTTTCTCCTCTTACTGTTTCATCCAAATCTTCAGGTTCCTTGTATCTTGTTCTCTTCTTTGTTAACATCGATATTTATTCAACAAATATTTATGAAGAGTGTCCTTTGGGCTAGGGACTCTGGCGTTGGAGATTTTGAAGAAGTTCCTCTCCTCAAGAAATTCTAGATCTAGGTGACCCACAGTTCAGGCAGCAGGCTGGGCATAGCCAAAGAGACACGTGCTAGAAATGGCCTGTGCTAGCTATATGTGTACCCCCCATTCCAGTAAGGAACCCCCCAAAATACTGCAGTTTGGTTCAAAGATGTGTATTGTGAGAGATGTAAATAATGTCAAGTAAGTAACCTAAAGACAAAAAAAAGTAGAAAACACTGGTCTCGTTGTTCTCTTGAAAGGACTGGACAGAATTAATTCTTCCTGAGAATAATCAGTAGAAAATGAAAAGAAATCTTACACTTTTAACAGGAGTAAGACCTTAAGGAAAAATAAAAAGCAAATTTGAAATTTAAGGGCTCATCTAAGCGTAAGAAAGTAGATAGCTGGTGTTCTCAGAACCCCTGAAATCATAAGGCATATTGCATGAGTTTTTGTTCATTATATTTTTAAATGCACCCAACTTAGTTCT